TTAAACCCCCGACATTAGGTCCTCATTTTTCCCCTCCCTCCCCGCTCCCCCCTCCCTCATGAGCCCTTGATAGTTTACAAATTGGTATTTTGTCATATGATTTTGAATTCTGTTCCATGTTTTTCTTCCTCTGGATCCATGACCTTGTAATATGATCCTTTTCAGAGCAGTTGGTAGTAGTAGCTGGGCACCATCTTGTTCTTTTTTTCTTTAATTAATTAAATTTTTTAATAAATCATTTTATTGGGGGCTCGTACAACTCCTATCACAATCCATACATACATCCATTGTGTCAAGCACATTTGTACATTTGTTACTATCATTCTTAAAACATTTGCTTTCTGCTTGAGCCCTTGGCATCATTTTTCCCTTCCCTTCCCGCTCCCCCCTCCCTCATGAACCCTTGATAATTTATAAATTATTATTATTTTGTCATGTCTTCCACTGTCCAAGGTCTCCCTTCACCCACTTTTCTGTTGTCCGTCCTCCAGGAGTGGGTTATATGTAGATCCTTGTGATCGGTTCCCTCTTTCTACCCCACCTTCCCTTTGCCCTCCTGGTTTTGCTACTCTCATTATTGGTCTTGAGGGGTTTATCTGTCTCATTCTTCTTGTCTCAGTATTGTGGAGACTGATGTTTGCATGCTCCATTTGTCAGTTAGACAAAATTCCTTATGCATGTCTCTCAACTTTAATCATTCTTTCCTCTGGATATGAAGAGACCAACATTATACATTTGGGGGATGCTCAAAATGATATATTGATATTTGTTTCTTGGATAACTAATTTTACTTGATTGTTCACCAAAAGCCACAGAATTTAGTGCATTTAGCCACCTCCCACTCTTGCTGCCTTGTAATTTTTATTTATATTTCTCGTTTGGGTTTTACTGCATTTAAAATTACAAATAGATTTTTAAATCTTAATTTCTTACCATGAAAACTGCAGATACTCTTGTACTGTCTACATCCCTTGCCCTTTTGCTATGTTATTTCAGGAACGTATATAGAAGTAGAATCAAACACTATGCACCCTTTTGAGACTGACTTTTTTCATTAAGCACACTGCTTACTATTACTGTTGAGTTGTTGAGGTTTGTAACATTTACATTTACTGTATTGAGTACAGCAATGATGTCTGAAATGTCAAGCCCCACCTAATTCACAATAAAAAAATCGAAGAAAAAACATCCTCAGACTACAAAGGTCCATGGCAAGTGTTTATTAAGTATTTATGCTCACCATGTACTGAGTTAACTCGTATGCTTGGGTAATCAAAAAAGAAAGTGCAGAAGGTTTTGGCATTTTGACAATGCATGGGAAAGGAGTAGTTTGCTCTTTAACCAAATAAACTGTTTTATTCTCCCAAGAGGGAGAAGGATGAGTTAAATAAGATATTGGGAGTGAGAGCCCTTCATAAAGTTTAAACTATTTACATATTGAAGAATTTAAAATATTAAAAAGCAGTTACTTAAAATTCTAAGTTTAGACCATATATTTTAAATGGCAGTTGTAAGCTGTGTTTAAAATGTTTCCATTTCAAGGGCTCAAGTAGAAAGCAAATGTTTTGAGAGTAATGATGGCAACAAATGTTACAAATGCGTGTATAGATTGTGATAAGAGTTGTATGAACCCCCAATAAAATGATTAAATAAAAAAACGAAAAAGAAAAAAAATGTTTCCATTTCATAATTTATAACTTTTCCTCCTCTTTAGGCAACTACATGTTATGGATGAAACACACGTGATGAACCAAGTCAAAGAAGATGTCTGCTACGTGTCTTCAGATTTTTATAGAGACATGGATATTGCAAAGTATGTTATAATAGTAATCTTAGATTTGGGAAGTCTCTTCTGAGTGATGCTGTACATGTTGATTGACTAAATCTCTCTTTTGTTTTCCAGGTTGAAAGGAGAAGAAAATACAGTAATGATAGACTATGTACTCCCTGATTTCAGTACAATTAAAAAGGGGTTTTGTAAGGTAATTAAAAACAATTTAATAGTAGTTCTCAGGTTGCCAACTGAGTCAGGTTTGAAAATAACTTCTCACTCAGCTGGGATTGTTTGGGTCTTAGAGAGCGGTCATCCATTGCCTTTCCTGTCATTAGTCTTTCCAGGCACAAGTATACTCGTATATACATTTGATCCTTGTATGTTGAGCAAATAATATGCACACTATGCAATTTGGCAATTCTGGATGCCCCTGAAACAAAGGGCAGTGAAGGTGGGCATATCTGACCTCTTCTTGCTTCCCTATTGCCATGAGGCGGGGGTCAGACAAGCCTCTATGGTCCATCCTTCTTATTCTGATAACAACCATTCCTCCTATACCACGCAACATCTATGCTGGGTTTGATAATTCATTAACTCATTGCAATTACCACACAGAAACCACTGACAGTACTCATAATTAAGGAGGTCCATGAGGGAAGTCAGTAGGTTACAAAAGTTAGCATCAGCAAATAGTAAGGATAGAGTCATTGGTCTCCTCACCTAGCAGCCAAGTCACTGTCTCTCCAAGCCCTAGTCTCTTAGCCCCATGGTCCTTTGGCATTATCTTCATGGACCAGGAAGCCAGCCTGCCTGTCACTCTGTCCCACAGTTCCATAGTTTGGGGCCAGATAAGAAGGTAGCCCACAGTCTCTGTACTGTTCCTCTGAGTCTCCATGCCCCAGTCTGTGATGCATCTGGTCTCTGCAGACTCCGCCACTTCGAGATCTTTAATGTGCTGTCTTCGCGATAGTGATGGCATGTTTGACTCCATTGTTGCAGCTGTCGTGTCAGACCATCATGTTGACAGCTTTCCATCCATCAATCTGCCATACTGTGTTGTATATTAGTCTGATGCTAAAAGCTGTGCTGCCTGTATTTCAAATACCAGCTAGCTCACCCACTTTGGGCAGGTTTCAAGGGAGCCTTCTGATTGAGAGACACTGAAAAAAAAGGCCTGGCAATCTACTTTTGAAACTTAGCCATTGAAAACTCTGTGCATCACAACAGAATAAAGTAATACTTAGCAGTGAAATCAACCCAGGCTACGTCATCGGCATGAATAAATGGTATAATGTTTGATAGAAAAAGATGTTTTAGAGGACATGCGATTTTTGTGCAGAACAATACTTTGTTTTCTTATGATTACATATAATATGTACAACTATCTGAGAATGATGACCAAAGTTAAAAAATAATAGGAAATAGTGTTTATTTGTAAAGTTCTCTTATGTTGTCTGGTGAGTACATAGTTTTTATATGGCTACCTATATAGGTATTTGTTTTATATGCCTGCAATCTACTGGCCAGATATTGAGTGATAAGCAAATTAGAATTCAGAGGAGGCCTTAGGAAATGGAAATTGAAATCATCCTGTAAGGAAGATCCTTAGAAACGAGTTCTGTGGAAAGATTTGAACTGGCTTCCAGAAGTGGGGCCTGGGACAAGTAACTAGCAGTCAGGTTGTCTGGGCATGAACAGGAGAGAGAAACTTTGGAAGCGTAAATCCTAATGTTTGTCACTGTATAAAGTCAACAGTGGAGCTGTCTATCGTCAGTGCTGATGCATGGCAGCCTCACGTTGAAGAGAGCGAAAGGATGCCCATTCCCTCCGTATGGATAGCCGTTGTTGCAGCCACTCTGTATTCCGTGTGTTTTCCTACCTCAGGGGTTCATCTCCTCACAGTAGTTAGGGAAACATTCTGTTAGGATCCATAGGGTTTTTAAACCAACTGAATTTTAGAATTAGGCCTTTCTTCCCAGTTGTCTTATCCTGAAAACTTTGCTGACACCTGTCCTTCATGGATTCCACTTTTGATCTTTGAAACTGGTGGCACAGCTGCCGGCATCGCAGCAATACACCGGCCGCTGCAGTTCAAAAACTGACAGATGGATCTAAACCAAACTCACTGCCGTCCAGTCAGTTTCGACTCGAGAGACCCTCAAGCATGCGGTGGGGGTGGGTGGGGGGTGGTATTTGAATGCCTTTGTATTTTAAATACTGCCAAAGTTGGACTGGAGTACTGCTTACTCAAGAATATGTTTACATGGTAAAAGTTATAACCTTGATTGTTCTTGTAAGGTTGGCGCAGGACCAGGCAGTGTTTCCTCCTGTTGTGCATAGGGTCGATATGTGTTCGAACTGACTCAATAACACCTGTCAACAATGATAGCAACAATAACACTAAAACCAGGTCTATGGCATTGGTGCTTATAAAACTGATTAGAAGATACCTATGAGGGTAAGTCAAAAGGGCCTGCTACCCAATCCTAGGCTCCTTCGTTAAGCATCAAAATGTGAAGCCCTAGTTTCTCAACATCTCCATCTAGGGCTGTGTCCCTGAAGGGAGTGCCCCACTCTAAGCTTTCCCTGGAGAATTCTGGGCACCTCTAGTTACCCTGTGCCGAGTGACAGCTTCCCAAGAGACTCAAATCCTGTTCCTTTTTGAAGTTCTTTGAATTTTAGGGCACAAAAAGAAGGGCAGGGCTGTAGAGTAAATGAGGTAAGGTTTCCCAGTGAAATAGTTGTGGGACAGCCTTTGCTATCTTTGAAGAATGAGCAGGGACATTACCACAATGGAAAAAAGAACTTCTTGGAACAGCTTTCCTGGCCTTTTCTCACCAGTGCAATTTTCCGTTTTCATAAAACCTCCTAATAAGCCCCTGTAATCATCCTCAGTTCATACGGAAAATCTATCAAGACCCCTTGGGAATCCTAAAAAGGAGTCACCCTAATGAGACTAACAAGCATATGACTGAGAGAACTTTTCTGCACCATACACTGATCACAGACACCTATTGGAACATGTTTTGTGGGATTAATGCTGTGTGTATAGGAATTGGAACCTTAGAGCCAGTCCTTTTTGACTTACCCTGTACTCAAGTATGATGTAATTTGCCTGACCTAAATGAAGAATTGCTTCATAATTAGTGATTACTACTCTCTGGAGCCTGGGTAATTTAAGGAGATCATTTCTCTAATGGTACTGGCCCTGAATTTACAAAGGCTCACACAGCCTGGCCTGCACCTCCCAGCAGCCTTCACACCTTTCTTCACTCGCCTGTGTTTAAAACAAAGATCTGTTTAAAAATTAGACTTTTAAAAACAGAAACTACTATGGTACCAGGATACACATTAACTGTTCGTGGCTTTTCTACATTCAGCAACGATATCTTATTCCTGACACTTTCCCCCTGGCTGGGGTGCAGGGTCCTCTTCTGTGGAACCAGGAGGAAGAACTAGAGCACCTCTAATAGTCTGTCTGCTGCAGTTCTCTGAGCCAGTCCTAGCTTGCTGGTTAATGGGAAAAGGGAGTTATGTTCTGTAAGCTCAAGCCTATCGGTTTTGTATGCATTTGTTTGTTTATAGGGAATACTTTCCATTCTTCCTGAGAAAGAAAAATGCTTCATTGGTAAAGAAATCGTAGTCTTCTTTTCATCATTGTAGCAATAATTTAACTGTTAAATGTGATTCATAGTGTTCTCTATATAGGTTATTGTGGATATTGTATAATTTTTAGGGTATTCTTATTTAAAAGTAATGTTTTAGCAGGAATTTACTGAAAGATGGAATCTGCATGATTCATACCCCGGTCAAAAGTGGCAATGTGGTATAAAGAGTATTTTGTATGTGCTTTGGGTTACTAAGGATCTCTGGTGGAATAGTGGGCTGCTAACCACAAGGTCTGTAGTTTGAAACAACCAGCCACTCCTTGGGAGAAAGATGAGGCTCTGCTCCTATAAAGATTTATAGCCTGGAAGCCCAAAGAAGCAGGTCTACTCTCCTATAGGTTTGCTATGAATCAGAATTAAGCTGGTAGAGTAGGGTTTTGGTTTTAGTCAGATAACCTCGGGAAAATCTTGCTACCTTTGTGAGCTTCAATTTACATCATTAATAAGAAAAGTAAAATATGCCTATCTTACAGGCTTAGGTGAGAGTTCAGTGGGGTGATGTCAGCAAAACACCTAATACAGTGAACTTCGTGTTGTTGGCTTGCATGCCCTTGTGGAGTATTTATTGGATACTTTCTATGAGCAAGGTACTCAACAAAGTACTTGATGTGTGTCAGTCACTGATAAAGATGATGAGTGTGAACTTGGGATGGTATTAGACGACGAGAAAAGGACCTCGCTTTTGTTTGGGAGTCAGGAAAGGCCTCTGTGAAGTAGTGGAGACCTGTACAGAGAGTAGGGGCTACTTTTATTAAGGAATGTATATACTCTTTTTTTATTTAAAACGGTTTCATTGACGCAATCCACATATCACACAATTCAATCGTTCCATCATATCAAGCATAATTGTACAGTCATTACCACAATCAAGTTCAGGAGGAACGTATATACTCTTTATCCATTACTATGTAACAATGCGTTATTATTTTCATATATTTTGAATATATTAATTCTTTAAAAGATTTTGACTTAACTGTGTTATGGGAAGAAAATGCATGTAGAGAACTAATGTTGAGTATTGAAATAGAATTGAGGAACTGGTGATTCACCAGGTAGAGTGTTGTGGAAGGACATAGTTCAAAGGGCTGGGTCTCTCCCAAGATCAGTAATTAGAGAATGTGTGTCACGGTTGTTTAAAATATGTGCTTGTTATATACATGGGTTCTGTATTAAAGATGGAATTGCCAGGTTCTAGGCCTGGCAACATTTTGTCTGTTACACATAAGGTTCTAAGACTTGCAGCTGACTCAGGTGCCCTTAACAACAGCAACATTTGAGGATAAAATTCAGGTGTTGGCTTAAGTCATTTGGAAAATTATTTCGTGAATAGAGAGTAAATAGTAAAGAAATTAAAAGTGTGATATTTTTGTACAAAAAAAATGAAATGCTTACTAAAACAGGACTGCCATGACCACTAAGTACCTAACACTGGTGTGTGTGTGTGTGTGTGTGTGTGTGTGTGTGTGTGTGTGTGTGTGTGGTGGGAACACAAGACAGAGCAGCAAATGCTTTTATCTTGATTGTGTTCTGTGTTCCCTACCCTGGAGGTAAATTACAGAGTTCTCTCCCCTCTCCTCTCCTTCCTGCATTCTGTGTGTTCTAAAATACAGGGAGTAACTAACGTCTGGCTGCCCTTTGCGGAATTGCCTTATTAGAGTCAAAGATTTATTTGCGGTTTAGGCAGAAGGAGAGACCACATTTTCTAAATGTTCAGAATCTTGAAACTCTAATGATATGGCCATATACTCTTATGTATCTGTTTTTGTTTTTTTCTCTTTAAGCCAAGGGAAGAAATGGTGCTAAGTGGAAAATACAAATCTAGCGAACAGATTCTTCGTCTAGCCAATGAGAGATTTGCTGTTCCAGAAATACTCTTTAATCCTTCTGATATAGGCATTCAAGAGATGGGCATCCCAGAAGCCATTGTCTACTCAATTCAGAACTTACCAGAAGGTTTGTAAAAACTTCATAGTAAAATATTGATGATAAATAATAGTTTTTTGTTTGTTTCTCTTTAAGTAAAAATACCACAGTCTCTAAGGCCCTATGTGGATGGCACAGGACCAGGCAGGGCTTTGTTCTGTGGTGCACAGGGTCGCTGTGAGTCAGAATCAACTTGGTGGTACTTAACAACAGTAGGCAGACCCCTGGGAAAATAATCTTGTTTTTTCTCAATTGTTTAAGGCAACTGCAGATCTGTTTTGTTTGCAGAGATTTCTAGATCCCAAAGTGCACTTTATGTATTCTTTCTTTATTGATCTCAGGTTACAAATATAATATAGGAAAAGTCATTATTATCCACTTAAACTTGAAATTTGTCTCTCCATGATTATTAGCTTGCATATTTATTTAGGAAAGTTTTAATGTAACAGAATAGAAATTTGTAATTGAACAATTCAGTCATTTCCAGCTGCTGATACACTGATTCTTTCTTTTGTATTTGGACTAGCATGCAGTGAGCTAATTTTCATGGAATTGAAATGTAGCATTCACTTCACATTGATTGATTTTCACTAAAGTGTGTTTAGTAAAAGTGATGATCTAGGGTGTCAGGTACTTCCACATCCCGGTTCATAAGAAATACTCTAGGAATTGAACAACATCAACCCAAGCAATGTACTTTCTTCCAATTGAAAACAAACAAACGAAGATGAAAAAGAAAGCTATGTAATGTCCTTGCCTTTCACTATTTGCATACTAATTTCACATTTCATATAGAATTACCATGAATATCAAATTCCATGCTATTCAGCTCTTAAGTTAGTTTCATGTCTTGAGACTCAGTGCCAGTGTGAACCCTGTACTTGTTTTGATGAACAGAAGCAAGTGGTGGGAGGGGTGACCACTCACTGCCATCGAGTCAACTCTGAATCATCTGACTGGTAGGGACGGGCGCTCCTGAACACAGGAGTACTGCCCCTATGGGTTTCCCATATGTTTCCAGGAGTAGAAAGGCTCTCGTCTTTTTCCCTCGGAGTGACTGGTGGTTTCAAACTGCTGACCTTGCATTTGAACTCACCAGGACTCCTTGTTTGGATGACCAGTGCCTGCTAATTCTGACAAAACACACAGTCAGTGGTGGTTAATATTTGTTGTCATGTAATTCTACATAGTGTTGACACTTAACGTAGATCCTTGTTTTAAATGTTAGTTTAGATTATGAGTGTCTTTAACTATCAAATGTAAGTGTTACTCAACAAGCTTGTCTGTCTCATTGAGATAGCATGGATATTTTGCATCTACAATGGAAAACAGGAAGCCCCTCAACAAGATGGTTTGACTCCGTGGCTGCAGCATTGTCAGGCTGGTTCCGGATGGGGCAGTGCTTTGTTCTGTTAGGCACAGGGCTGCTATGAGTGAACCGACTCAATGGCACTAACAACAAGGGGCTAAACTTTCTCAAAGGGGTTTCTTGTTCATCCTGCAAGTAGACCCTGTGTTTTAAGGAAGAATCGTTATGATTATTTTTGTGAAAGTCGAAAGTTATTTTTGCATAGCTTGTATGTATATATAAATTGCTACAATTCTTTTCCCTTACATTTTTCTTTTAAAGGTAGCTATCTACCAGGTCATGTTCCACTCTTTTTAACATGTCTGTGTAAACTATATACATCCTCTTTACAAAATATCAGAATGGGCCCCAAAAAGCCATAGTTTCCCAACTAGTAACTGTAACCTGTAATTAATCAGCTGCTTATGTAGTTAATTTCCAATCCCATCTTTCCAGAAAGAGAAGTAAAACTGAGTTTCTAACATTTTTTTTTTTTTGCTTCCTTCTTTTTTTCTTTTAAAGAAATGCAGCCACACTTTTTTAAGAATATTGTTTTGACCGGAGGAAATTCCCTTTTCCCTGGATTTAGGGATCGGGTTTACTCAGAAGTGCGATGCCTCACGCCAACAGATTATGACGTGTCTGTTGTGCTACCAGAAAAGTAAGTATTGGTTATATAGAAACAAAGCGTGGACGTCGTTTGGTGGATAAAGGTGATTCGTCCCGCTGCCCTTGAGTCCATTCTGACACACAGCAACCCTACGCAGGGCTTCTCAGCGTGGAAATCCTATGGCAGCAGACAGTCTGACCTTTCTCCTGACAAGCAGTTGATGGGTTTGAACTGCCAACCTTTCACTTGACAGCCCAATATTTGACCCGCAATTCTACCCTTGCACAATCTTAAGGTGGTTGGTCTTTAAGCAGACTATATGCTGAAGAACATGGCTTCAGGATTAGAAGATGCATTAACAACCTGTGGGATGTGCAGCCTTGCTTCCTGAAAGGGAAGAGGACTTGAAGCACTTAACTGCTGAAGGGAGACCACATGAAACAAAATTCTCACAGCTGGACCAATAAGCAGCGTCATGAAAAGATTGATGTAAAAAAAAAAAAAAAAAAGATGTCAAGGATTTCATTTTACCTGGATCCACAATCAAACCCCAATGGGAGCTGGAATCAAGATAGCAAATGACAAATTACATCAGGCAAAGATGTCGCTTTGAGGACTGAGGTGCACCTGTCCCAAACCATGGTGTTTTCAGTAGCCTATGTGCATGTGAAAGCTGGACAGTGAATAAGGAAGACTGAAGATTTGATGCATTTGAATTCGGCTGTAGGTGAAGAATATCAATCGTACCCCGCATCTGCAGAAGATCCAGGAAATCTGTTTTGGAAGAAGTGTAGCCTAAATGCTCCTTAAAGGCAAGGATAGTGAGATTTCATTCGAATTCACATACTTTGGGCATGTTACTAGGAGGGACCATTTCCTGGAAAATGACACACTGCTTGATAAAAGTAGAGAGCAAAAAAGAGGAAGACCTCAATGAGATGGATTGGCATAGTGACTGCAACAATGGATTCAAACATAGCTGTGATTGTGAAGATGCAGCAGGACCAAGCAGTGCTTGCTTCTCTTGTTCATAGCATTGCTGAGTCAACACTGATGGAAAGGCACCTAGTAACAATATGGACAGACTTGAGTTTAAAGCTTAGTAGACCACATTGGTAGGATTGCTTCACCTGTCAGATGCTCATTTATCCTTTTCTGTAAATGATAAACCTTATAGTCCCATAAATTATGTAAAATGCCCACCATAGTGGCTAGTAAGTAATGGGTGCTCAACTAACAAGATTTCTTCCATATATATATATTAACACCACTCCTCATTCCTAAGAGGTTTCTTATTTTTAAATTTATTTATTTTTAAAATTTATTTTATTTTATTCTTAAGAGTTTGACAGGCAAAGCAGTCAGGTTATTAGCTACCTGGTTTATCTGAGATGTCATTTCTTAACAGTTCCAATCAACTATGTAAATTTAAGAATCGAACCATTAAAATACATACAATTTATAAGTTGTTGTGCAATATTTTTGATCCAAAAGATTTTTAAATGGGACTAGTCTTGCTTAAAAATTTCAGAAACTTTGAGATTTATTATTTCTATCCTATTTTATGAGACATCATCATTTCCACGTGTGTTAGGTACCATTAACTTG